TATCGAGTCTGTTTTGTATTGCCTATATATAGGCTTCTTATTTTGATGATTAATAAGACAATCTCATTATTTTCCCCCAAAATTTCTAACATGGTATCGAGCCTATTTTTGTCATGCCGCAGATATAGCCTACCAACCCGTGTTTCTCCGGGTACATTCAACCTGGATTGTACCCGGAGGTCTTGTGATTTTGAGATCATGCCTTTGCAAGTTGTCTTTTTGCAAATCTGTCTCGTCTAATCTCCGATTTGCCATCTGTCCGTTGCTTGTCTGTTGCCTATGTGCAATCTGAAATCTTCGCTGCTTGTTTGTTGCCTGCGAGCGATCTGAAATGATTTGTCATATGTCCATTGTCTGTCTGTTGCTGCGTGTGATCTGACATCTGTCGTTGCTTGTCTGTTGCTGCGTGCTCTGCCATCTGTCATTGCATGTATGTTGCCTGCATGCGATCTGCCATCTTTCGTTGCTCATTTTTTGCCAAAAATCTGTCTATGATCTGTCATCTGTCCACTGTCTGTCTGTTGCCTGCGTGCGATCTGATCTGTCCGATGTTTGCGATTTGTCTGTTTTCGGCTCCGGTGGAGTCATGTCGTTTTCGGCTTCAATGGAGTCATGTCGTTTTAGGCTCCGGTGGAGTCATCTCGTTTTTCGGCTCCGGTGGAGTCATCTCATTTTCGCCTCCGGTAGAGTTGTGGTTTTTGGCTCCGGTGGAGTCGTCTTGTTTTCAGCGGCTCCAGTGGAGTCATGTCGTTTTCGGCTCCGGTGGAGTCATCTCGTTTTAGGCTCCGGTGGAGTCTTGTCGTTTTCGGCTCCGGTGGAGTCACGTCGTTTTTGGCTCCGGTGGAGTCATCTCATTTTCGGCTTGTTTTCAGCTTCGGTAGAGAGTCATCTTCTGTTCGGCTTCGGTGGAGTCATGTCGTTTTCGGCTCCGGTGGAGTCATATTGTTTTCAGCTCCGGTGGAGTCATCTCATTTTTTGCTCCGGTGGAGAGCCATCGTCGTTTTTTGCTCCGGTGGGTGGAGAGTCGACTGCTAATCTTATTTATGTTTTCTTTTTGCGTTTATATTTAAATTTCTCATCAAACTCAAGTTGGTTTCTGAGTTTGAGGGGATGTTGAGATATTTTAGATATTCAATTTTAGATTTAGTAGATTTATACGAAATTTGATCTTATTAATAAATTAGATTACTTAGTATTTAGTAATAACCAAAATTAATCCAACCCCTCCTTATAATATAAAATCAATTCAAACCCATTTCAGTTTGATCCATCAACAAGTGCAAAGCAAGGGCAGAGTAAAATCAAATAAACCAATAGAACTATTGTAAATTTATATCTGGATTATTGTGAATTTATATCTGGATTGATGAGTTTTAATTTTTTCTATCAAATCTTATAAACAAAATTATAAATTAATTAGAGAAATATTAAAGCAATTAAAATTAACAATATTAAACCGATGCAATATTTTGAAATTTATTATATGAAAACCAAACAAATAGAACCTTGAATGAAATTAAAGCAAAGTAGGTCTTTTTGTTCATTGAGCTTCTGAAATTAGGGAGAAACCAAATAAACCCATCTATGAATTTATATTACGCCCAGACCTAAGACATCTCGCAGACGATGAAGATGGTCGTTCCGGAAGCGCGCAGCGGCCCGCGGTTTGAAGCAGCAGTGAGAAGCACCTCGACGGCGAGAAGCGACGACTTGGCAGAAGCATCTCCAGCAGCAGGGTGCGATTTACAGCGGATGGTTTTCCTTTGGCGACAGCTCTCCACACCGGATTCCAAACGGCGATGAACTCTCAAATCAAGTAATGATGACGATAGTACAAATCAAATTGTATTTCTTATGCCTTCAAAACTTATATTAGATCCAACAACTTGGCCCTAATTTCAACCTCACAAACACATGCAAGCAGACGAAATAACATGTCAGGTACACATTATTTCAGAATAACTGTGACGTGCTTTTTCCCAGAGCCAAAAAAACAAAAATAAGGCCGACCGTGTGGACATATTGTCCTAAATTTAAAAATAAAAAAAACTATCTAAAAATTATAATTTGATTTACATATAGGGCAAAATATGCAAATTTTCCTCCAAAAAATTATGCACTGAATAACAAATTTTCTTATGCATGACAAGTGGTAAAAAAAGACCTTTATGTTAAGGGTCTTCACGGTAACAAATACTATATGAGTGAATTTACTTCTGGTAGAAATTTGTCACGAATGCTTGTGACTTGTTGCCAACTTAACCCCTTTTCACATGTTGTAACTTGACTATTTGTATCGTGAGTACATGTTACTGAAAAATATGGTAACAAAAATGAAAAAGTCTTTTTAAGTGACATTATCCTTTTACTGGATATGCAAAGTCACGTTTTCTGGAAATGTTGATCATTCAACATGTCTCCGTCCAAGAGAGATGGTGATTACATCGGTTGATTGAAAAATAAGTTATGTACATCTTATTTTGTAAGGAAATGATTTAATAAATAGTTACAAATGGAAAAACTAAAGAAGACTTAAAAAAATTGAGTGAGAGAGAAAGAAGAAACACAAGAGACCATGTCCATGTTGTTTTAAATAATTACATGGCTTTTCTTTAAGTTTAATTTGATTATTTATTTAAATTAACAATATATCAAATTTGTACTCTTACATTTATTTTGCTTTTCACATTTAATAAACACATTTTCTACAGTTCATATACATGTATATGTACATAAACCAATTGATATTTTCTGTTTTTGTAATTTTGTTTTCATTATCTATGTCGATATTCTTATTATCGTACAAAATTAAATGTTAGATACGTAAATATTATATTTACCAATATTTCTTCACTATAAATATTATTGTATATTTACTTGGCATCACAACATCACAATAGACTACCATAGCTACTTTCTTATTTTTATTATTCCGCTACTAGTAGCATGTCTTTCATTGCATTCGAATATTAAAATCTTTTGTGATCCCTTCTGTATATTTATGTGTTTTCCGAATAGAACATGTTAACACATTCTTAGATTTGAATGTTGTTTCAAGCTTCAAATATATATATATATATATATATATTAACGTAACTGGTTAATTCATTGTTTGAATGAGATTTTCGGGTTGGATGTAATTGTAAATCAATCCTCTAAGATGCTAGTTTGATAAAAGAGAAAAACGTTATATTTAACAAAATGATAATTAAAAAAACAAAAAAATAAATCATTTTGTATAGTCCATTATAAATTTGTTGTGTGAAAATGTATGAAGTATATCATCAATATCAGTAGACAAAGCTTTTCAACATAATAATGTGTATATATAATATTCTTATTCTTATTATTATTATTATACATTTAAAAAATACAAATTATGAGATGAGTTAATTATACATCTTAAACCACTCAAGCTAAAAAGTGTATAAATTTTACCCAAGAAATTGCTTCAAAGAGTATACCATCAATTTTACCCAAGAAATTGCTTCAAAGAGTATACCATCAGACCAATTAAACATAAGTAAAAATGTAAACACATACACAAGTTTGTAAATGTTGAAGAGTTGGACTCGTGTCATGTGAGCGTGGACATGTAATAAATCAGGCATATCCATTTCACATGTTTAATTGATTCAAGTTTAAGCAATATATATATAAAACAACAAAATTTATTTATTTTAATCCGTACCCTTGTATGCTTTGAACCTGACACCTTAAAACTAATGCACATCGGCGACACTTACAAATGTATGTGAGTCCTCTCTGGTTAAGGATTCTCTGACAAGAAAGGCTCCATAGCTTGTTACCTTAATTGTACGTTTACTATTTTCTTTCGTTGACATGAAATTGATACATTATCCAAGTAGCAGAAAGATCCATCCATGCCTGTTAATTGCATTTATTAACGTCCAATTCGATGAGAGAGAGATGTAAAATGACCAACTAGCACCAATTTATCTTTCAGAAGCACAAATGTCGATGAGAGTCAGAGCTCACTACAAAAAAACTGCATTTTAGTCACGGAAATTACTCACGGAATTTTGTGAGTAATCATGAAAAATCCGTGAGTAAATTGATTACTCACAGAATTACTCGCAGAATTTCGTCCGTAAGTAATTTGTTAGTAAATGCCTCGTAAGTAATTCCTGACAAGAAAAATCCATGAATAATTCCGTAAGTAAACTACTCACGAAATTACTCACGAAATTCTGTCCGTGAGAAATTTACTCACGTACTTAACCACGGACTTTGTCTGTAAGTAAATTTACTCATAGAACAAATTTTGTGAGTAGTTCCGTAAGTAAAAATCAACAAAACTCTCTTACTTGTGACGGAATGTTTCATGAGTAATTCCGTGAGTAATTTACTCACTGAATTACTTACTGAATTTTCCCTTGCAATATATCAACATGATTTTTGAGACGGAATAATTTTCGTGAGTAATTCCGTGAGTAATTTTTTCTACCCAAAAAATTTATATTTCAATTTATCCATACCAGTCCTAAATAATATATTACGACAACACAAATCCGAACCACATAGTAAATCATTCCAAGCCAAATATCCAATAAACAAAATACGATCAAATCACACGATGTTTATAACCATAGTTCCATAATCGATGGATACCACAAAAAAGAAGTAAACATAACCGTATATTTGATATGATAAATCTGTAAATCCGTAAATATTTATATTTGAATTTATCCATAACAGTCCCAAATCATTTACTACGACAACACAAATCCAAACCACAAACTAAACAATTCCAAACCATCCAATAAACAAAATACGATCAAATCACACGATATTTATAACAATAGTTCCATAATTGATGGATACCACAAAAATAGTAAACATAATCTTATATTTGAAATAGTAAATCTGTAAATCCGTAAAACTTTATATTTCAATTTATCCATACCAGTCCCAAATCTATAATGACAACACAAATCCAAATCACAAAGTAAATCATACCACAAGCCAAATATCCAATAAACAAAATACGATCAAATCATACGATGTTTAAAACCATAGTTCCATAATCGATGGATACCACAAAAAAGAAGTAAACATAACCGTATATTTGAAATAGTAAATCCGTAAATTATTAAAGTTCAAATACTTGGTACAAAAATCAACAAACAGGTGGCGCACCTGAATCGCCGTCGGGGTCGCAGCGGTCTGGTCGGGCATTCATCCTCTCAAGTTGTTGCATGATCGTTAGGGCGTAATTTTCAAAACGATCAAATCGTTCCTCCAAGCGCGCTAGCCGGTCGTCAGTCGTAGAAGTGCTAGGTGTACGACCATCACTAGTGAATAAGTTACGGTACGGTGGCACTGTCGATGCTAGCGATCCAAGCCCAAATATCCTCTTCTTCTTATCCCGATGCACCAAGGAAAGTAAGGCATCATCACGGTTATACTGTGTATCACCAAATTGAGACATACCTTCCTCGATAACATCCATGCCTTCCTAGAAATTGTAAAGAAAATATATTGCATATATATAGTTTGTATTAAGTGAACAATATTTAGTAAAATATCAATTGATTCACTTACTTTTAGTCGGGCTGCCTTCGTACTGCAATAATTCTTTCCATCGTGGTGCCTCGTATGTGTCCACTCATATGTGTCCCATTTCTCGAAACCCTACACTTATATTTGTATGGTCTTTAAATACAATAGTTTTAAAATATTCACAATTAATATGTAAAATACAAATTTACCATTTTATGTGAAGTCTCCATGAATGATCGAGACCCGCCGATGTGCGTGGCCTCAGCAGGACCGCTCGGATTACCGCCTCGTCTGTTGGAGTTTGCTGTCACCAACTTCTTACTGGCATTCTGGGAGGTCCATTCCTCCTTCCATTTTTGGAGCACAATGGCGGGAACTCTTTTGCTGAGCTTTTCTTTTCCCGAATGAATTTCATGGCGTATTTCATACAACCAGTGGTTGTATGTTTCACAGGCCTTTTGATTATAGTAAGAGTGCACAACCTCATGGTGTTCGGGTTTCCACTTAATGTATTTCTGGAAACAATAAATTTAATCATTATAAATTAGCATAAAATTTGATGGGTAAATATATGTCCTTCATTACAACGTAATAAGCGTGCTTTAATTGTACCTTCATTTCCTCTTCGTAGAACTGCTGTGTCGCTAGCGGTACATCTGTCCACGTGTAGCCCTTGGGGCTAATTTTTGTTGTGAATATCGGACGTAATTTCCGTGTGGCACTACTCGGCCAAAAAATGCTGTATGTAATTTATAGCTACAAATTAAGAAATTATTGGTAACTTGATTGTAGAATTACACATAAACATTGTAGGCACATATCTACCATCTGGGCGCACCTCAATCTCAATTAAACCGTCATTGTCATAGCTCCCTACCGCAGACTGTTCAGACCCAGAATTGCCAACTCCTATTTTCAAGAGTTTTAGTCTACCTATTTTAAAATAATACTACAACAGTGAGTAGTACAATCCATTCTAACCTGATGTATCGCCATGGGTGGTCCCACGTGAAACAATCGTTGTTGTATCTGCTGATGTTGATGTCGTGGCACCTGCAGTGAAATTATTAACTGATATTAGTGAAAGGTTTGTTGTACAAGGATTTAATATACATTCAAAATACTAAATCTACATACCAGTACATGTACTTGTCACGTCCTCAACCCGCTCCTCCTTCACAGCCTGCTGCAAGCGCATGGCGGATTGAGCAAGCTGACGAATTCGCTGCTGGCGTAACATCTTCTCTTCTTCTTGAGACATCTGCATTATAGAAGACATGTAGTTAATTTATAATATATTAGTAAAGTAAAAAGTTATTAAAGTTTTGGAGGACCTATTCAGCAGACACATCATAATCGGAACTTGTTGGACTGAGCTGATTAAGTTCTGATGTAGAAAAAGTTTCAAAGAATATTTCTTCGTCATCCGTATCTGAACCGTCTGAATTGTCTATCGGTATACCACTCCCACCGTCTGTTGATGCCAAGTAAAGTTGCTCCCCTTCTGTGGGTATTTCAATAGTGCAGGGTTCCACCACCACATCCTGGTATATGTCAACTTCTTCCTGACTTTCCACGATCTCGCCACTCACATCGATCCAACCCCGGGGTCTGACTCGACATACTGCTAACCAATCAGCCTTGTCCTTTTTCATACTTGGGAATGGAAGATAACATACATGTGTCGCTTGTATTGCAAGTATGAACGGTTCATAAGTATGGAGTTTTTTCTTTTTATTGACCTCCACCAAATTGTATCTTCCATGCTTCTTCGTTCGAACACCGGAAGTTGGATCATACCACTCGCAATTAAAGATAGTACATCGCTTGATCGGTAGTCCTGGAAATTCAATCTCCAAAATTTCTTGAATATGACCGTAGTACTCTAAACCCCCACTATCAACATAAACTCCACTATTGTATGAAGCCTTCTTTGCACCGTACTTTTCGGTGTAGAAACGATGACCATTAATGAAACAGTTATTATACCTAGTGACCTCCACCAACGGCCCGTGTGAAATGTCTTTATAAATTTTTGGAATGTTGTCTTGTTCAGTAACCTGCAATGTATGATAGATTATATTACACTGATTGTTTAAGATGAGGTTAGAGCTACGTAATGGTAGAACACACACGTATTGGGCAAACCAGTAGGTGAAATTCCTTTGTAAGTGCGAGGCAACCTCGATGTCTGATATTAAAGGATGTTCTCGCTTCAACGTCTCTTCGAAGATCCTAAATTTGTAAAGTCATAAATCAGATTTTTAACGGTAGTTCTATTGAATACCTTAATATTTTTAAGCGTACATAAACTTACGAGATGAAGGTATCACATTCGGGAACATTGAGTACAAAGTATGCTTGTATTGCTTGCCTTTCATGAGGCAACAAATACCGCTTCTTCGGCTTGCCTTGCAAGCGGCAAGGATGTGAGAATACTTTTATCCCAATATCTGGAGTTAATCTCGGTCCTCCATCATCCTGTCTAGGCACATTCCTTCCACGTGTGAACACATGTTGTTCGAAGTAATGAGAGCAAAAAATACTAGCCTCCCGATTTAGGAAAGAATTGACAATGGAGCCTTCAACTTGTGCCTTATTATTCACCATATGCTTCAAACTATATATAAATCTGCATCCATTTGAAAAAGTTGTTTTTATTTATTTGCTACAATTGTATAGGTCTTTTCAACTTACTCTAAGGATCGGGATATTACCTCTCAAAAGGATACATCCAACGACATTGAACTGGGCCTGCTATTCTTGCCTCATAAGGCAAATGTACCGGCAGATGTTCCATACTGTTGAAAAACCCGGGTACAAATATTGTCTCCAACTTGCAAAGAATGACAGGAATCTCAGCTTCTAGAAGTTCCATATTTTTCAATGAAACTACGTTTGATGTTAGGCGTCTGAAGAAGTTACTCAACTCTGTAATGGCTTCCCAAATCTTTTTTGGCAACAATTCTCGAAAGCCAATCGGAATGAGACGTTGCATGAATACATGACAATCGTGGCTTTTCATGCCAAACATCTAATATTTGCTCATGTTGACACATTGTCCAAAGTTGGACATATATCCATCAGACATCTTCAATTGTTCAACCCAAGTTAGAAACTCTTTTTTACACACGTTATCCAATGTATATGCAGCAACAGGATAGCATTGTCTAATGTTATCAAATTCTAGCTTTTTTCTATCACAAAACTCAGTCATATCTGCCCGTGCCTTAGCATTATCTTTAGTCTTACCCTTCACGTCCATCACCGTATTGAAAATATTTTCAAAAACATTTTTCTCAACGTTCATCACGTCAATATTGTGACGGATCAGCAAGTTAGACCAGTATAAATATACTTCTTTTCCGCCACCCACACACCTGCGAAAGCCTTCTATTTATATCTGTCGCTTCTGGCTCGGTTACTTTTAGGAAACCGTACTGATCAATCTCTCTAATTTGCTCTTCACCGGATTTTACACGTGGAGGAGGTATCCTTTCTACATTCCCCTTCTTGAACCTCTTCCTGTCCGATCGGTAAAGATGGTCGTTTGGAAGAAACCTGCGATGTGTATCAAACCAGGATTGCTTACATCCTTTCGGTAGATAAAAAGCTTTTGTTTGATCTTGACATATTGGACATGCTGTTTTTCCGGAAGTACCCCATCCAGACATCATAGAGTATGCTGATAGATCTCCTATATATGAAAAATATATAGATTCAATATATATCATGTTATTTTTGCAAATGAATAAGACATAATTACTGAAAAGATGTTTACCTATAGTCCACAACAACACAGCCTTCAAAATGAAGTTTTCCTTCCGAGAGGAATCAAATGTTTCAATCCCATTGATCCACAAAGTCTTCAATTCTTCAATCAACGGTTGCAAGTAAATATCGATCTTCTGTTTCGGGTTCGCCCCCCCAGACACCACAAGAGATAGAAATAAGTACTCGTCTTTCAAACACATATTAGGAGGGAGGTTATATGGTGTCACAATGACAGGCCAACATGAGTATTGTCTTCCCGACTGGCCAAATGGTTGAAATCCATCTGTGCAAAGTCCTAATCGAACATTTCTTGGCTCAACTCCAAATGAAGGGTATTTCGCATCTAACATTTTCCACGCCGCTGAGTCACATGGGTGGCACATATCATCGGCGTTCGCATGTCGATGACCTGCATGCCAACACATATGTGATGTTGTTTAAGAGGACACGTACAACCTCTTAAGCCTCGGTGTGATTGGGAGATAAAACATATATCTGATAGGCACCATTTTCCCGTTCTTTTCTATATACCGTGATTTTCCACATATCTTACATTGATCCAACTCTACATCCTCCTTCCAGTATAGCATACAACCAAATGGACAACAATCTATCTTCTCACACGGTAAGCCTAATCCCTCAATCAATTTTTTTGTTTCATAGAAGCTTTTTACGAAACAGTTGCCCTCGGCATCACATCATGCATAAGCTGGCACTGGACATCAAACCATCTTTCAGACAAATTGAAGTCAGCCTTAATATTCAACATTCTTGCCACAGCAGACAACAACGTTGCCTTCATACAGTTTTTTATCTTCTGGGTTAGGTTGTTCATCCTGCACTACGTGTGCCTCAAATGTGGGCCCTCCGGCATCCATCACCATTTGAGTATAATCCCCCATCCTTGGATCAACTATATTTTCAACTCTCGATGGTTCATATTGTTGTGAGCTACCACTTCCATCATGTTTCTCACCATGACATGTCCATCTATCGTACTTTGGTACAAAACCTCTAGAGTACAGATGATATTTGACATCATCTACTGCTAGAAACCTGATATTCTTACAATGCTTGCACGGACAACGTATAGTATTGTCAATCTTATCAATATTTGGGTTGTTCATGCAGTAATTCAAAAATTCGTTAACCCCATTAGTAAAGTTTCTGTTTAGAATACCATTGTGCATCCTTTCATACATCCAAGCTCGTCCCGGAGCTTTCATGTCTAAGTTACTCGCCTCTGAAATAATATTTATTGCACAAGTAAAAATTCTTCATCGATGACAATCAACCATTGAAATCTCCAACAATAATTTAAATATAGGCATAAAACTACTTGCACAATCACAACAATAACCTACTTCTTAAGATTATAATATATCATCATCAGTTTAGAAAATAAAAATAAAAATTTTTAGACCTTTAAATTAAAAACACAAAAACAGTCAAACTGAATTAGCAGAAACAAAATCATGTTGTGAAAGAAGAATAATATACCAGTCGAAGATAGCCATTTCATGAGGGAACAATAAAAGGTTGTTATAGTGATTATGACAATAACCTGGCAAAGCAATTACTATGACCGGTGTAATAACAACTGAGTAGTATAAATTTGAGAGGTGCAGTTAAATGAACTAGTTTTTTCAAGAGAAACAATGCTTCTGAAGGAAAATCATGCTAAAGCTATGCGAAGAAATGCTCATTGAATTAGAGGGTGTGGTAAACCACATATTCATTACATATTATAAAATATTTAAAAGTGTTTATAAGTAATCCCAAAACAATTGTAGGAACTTACAGGCTCTTCAACAAAACAGTAAAATCAAGGGAATAACTTGGAAAATAATCAGCCTAGAGGAAGAGGTACAACAACTTTGTGAATGTTTATCTAGATGTAGCAGCACTTTTAAGACTGCATAAACACTCTTGGTGGCAAAGACAGACAAAAAATAATCTCATCATTTAATTTAATAAAGGCATAAAACTCGAATCCTAAGTAACTAGAACATAGCCTGCACACAATTAATCTCCAACACCAGACACATGTGGAAGTACAACTGCCACTTCTTAATAGGATGACTACATCCAGACATCACATTCTACATGCGTAATCTCCAATACAATATATATATATATGTACAGTTAAAATTGCACTGGTGAGTAATTCAATAATATTGAAATAAGGCAAAACAAAGTAAGCTAAAACAAATAAAACTACCTTAACTATTGCTATTGCCGCAGATACCGGATTTCTGACCCCAAGAACAGTCCAAACTAAAGAATTATCAGAACCAGTAGGTATGATTCCAATTGGGATTGAAATAGCCTCTTTCTGGTTGTCTCTACTAAGTAAACCATTCAGAACCTACATTGTGGAGGTAATAAAACAAAATAATGAAATTCACCAACTTCTTCCAAAGGTGCAGCATGAACCATAATCAGAACCAGAAGTAATTTCATTCTTACATGCAATTAAAGAAACATTTAAGATATATTATATCTATACAGCTTGACCATTAAAAACATATTATTCAAATACCCCAACAAATGAGATATTTCAAAATGTAATAAAAAGAAAGCATCACATCCAATCATGCTGAAAAAACAAGAATTTTAGGTACAAACAACATTTAATAGGCAAAAAATTCTTTCCAAAAAATCAATAATAATAATAATAAAACAATAATGATAAATAGGAAAAGATTTTTTGGCAAGTTAGATGGAAATCATATATCCTGTCTCAAGAGGTCCAAAAGACTTGAAGCTCCTACCTAAACATTTTAAAACAAAATAGACAACAACAGAAACATCAAATTAATGATTTAGATTAGCAATTATAGTATATAAATCTCGTGTGTAATACCCATCCATTACCAACTTAATTAAAATGGAATGACTTAAATTTCAGAAGATAATAATGTTTATATTGCAATTTGGATATTCAATAATGTTCTCCAACTCTTGTTGTGAAATTCCACTGGGTTGACAAAAAAAAGTTTATAAATATAACATTAAATACACTAGATAAGAGTTCCTTACAACAACCAGAATAAAGATGCACATGGAAGAAAAACAGTGATATATACAGACCTCATTTACAATACCATCACCTCTTACACATATAATACCTGCAAGGATAGCAAATCACAGAGGCAATGGTTTAATGAATTAAGAAAACAATATGAAATAGTTTCCAAAGGCACAAAAGAACTATGTACCATCAGGACAAGTACTGAAATCAACACTGGCTGCAAGTTTCCTAGCATGACCAGCAGATGTTGTTTTGACAACCTCTAACTCAAATCCTGCAAGCTGCTCACCATATCACAAGAACAGTACTATCAGATCCTATCACAGATGAAGATAATGAAGCCAGAATGCCAGATGTATAGCTATGACATCCAACCAGAGTAGTTAAAATGACTTTGAATCGCATCCATGATAAGGTCCTAAGAAACCACCAAAAAACTTCAAATATAATTGAGTCATACCTATGATCAGGCAACATACTCATCTATAAAACTTAATTTGATTTTAAGATTTTGTCATCACCATAAAAGGTTTACAAGTATTATCGATGCCATGCGGAGCATATTTTAGAACATACTCAATTACATAGATTACGCAAAATTGGCAAAACACCAGAACCCATTCAAGACATAGAAAAGAACCTGTGTGTGGCTACTTTATTAACGGCTGCAGTATGATTGCATAATAAAATATCTGTACATAATAAAAACAATCAAACATATATAACCCTAATTGCAATCCAAAATATATAACTTTTTACTATGTTGATAATAAGCATAATCCAAACTTACAAAACCTAGAATGCAACTTCCTCTCAACATCTCAAAAGGTTTTAGAATATCAGTTATGCCCGCCAATTTAAACTACGATACCAAGGTACACCATGTGGCTAACATACTCACACGATCATGTCTGTCTTGCAATCTCACATAATTGGGTTAGTGGTGAGATCACGATCCTGTTCCTCAAGACATCTAAAAACCTACGACCCAACAAAAGTAAAATAACAGCACACTTGTTAAGAAGTAAGCTATACATCAACTAAAAACTGTACAAACTTATGCAGACAGATGATCTCAGAGAACCTCACCATTGTTATCCATTCTTTAATCCTCAAATTCAATGGATATATTATAAAATAAAATCTCAGAATTTGACCGGACACTAAAAGGCCAAGAAAATGCACGAAGTGGTGAACAGCACCAGAGCCCCATCTCCACTAGGTATAACATCAACAACCTATTTGCAGGATAAGATCATAGTTACAAGTAGAACCTAAGGCCTAAATGTCTAAAACATCGAGTCTTGCACGGTGGACAGCCCCTGGATAGACTGTCAACTATGTTTCAGAAAGTAGTGGAAATGAACAAGATCACACTACAATTCTCTTTGTTTATGGAAGCAATCCTACATTGTCCATATCATTCGACTATGACTATTACCACCACCTAGCAGAAGGATTGATTGGGGTACCATGACTCTCATTACAAGGAATTACATCCAATGCGAGTAATTCCAAAACTGTAGTGTTGAATAGCTCACATTCAATCTTTAAGTGTATAGCAACAAAACAATTTCAGCCTAGTGTTAGATTAAGTAACAGAGCCAATCTGGAGGTGTCTAGCTAAGGCCAAGAACTAGTCCAAGCAATATTTTAACAAACATAATCCACAAAACACAAATTTAGAAAAGTAAATAAATAAATAATCTAGAAAACCTTACTTACTCTGAATTAAAAAACGCGCAGTGGAAATTAGCAGCAGGAACAAATCAGATGAACGAGGAGATATTAGAAATTAAAACCTGCAGAAAAAGGCGTGAAAGCGAGTGTGAAGGAGGTTTAGGTTGATCAACCATTAAATAATATAAAAACTATTACATATATATATATCTTTCACTCATCAGTGGTGCTTCCAAACAGAATCTAAGAGCCATCGCCGCCGAAGACTGCTGCCTGGCGTTCAAAGCACCACCACCGCCGTCGTCCTCCTCCACCGTCGCTATCAAATACCAAAAATCAACCGCAGCAGTGTAGAGTGATGTATAGCACGCAAAGATTGAGAACGGTAGGTTAAGACTACTCAATCAGCTTTGAAGAATCGCCGGTTTCATACTGCAGTTCCTGTTCAAACTGAACTGGAACTGCAATTGAACCGAAATAATAAGTATTAATTTTTTATAAAATTAAAATAATATTAACATTAATAAAAATAAATATTTATTTATATTTTAAATTTTATAAATTTGATTAAATAATTATATTTAATTTAAATTATATTATTATTTAATACACTAATATTTTTTATAATTAATTTGTAATTTAAAATTATTATTTTAATTATTTTTATATAGAGTACTAATTTAATTAATTAATTATTATTTAATAATTTTTAAACAATAAATAAATAATAAATATATATCTAAATAAAATTAAAATTGAAATTAATTATTTTTAAATAAAACTTAAATTTAAGAAAAGGAAAATAAAAAATATATTAAAAAATAATTACTCACGGAATTTAATTCCATGGGTTATTCCATCGTTAATTACTCACAAAGCTATATTTTGTGAATAATTACGTGAGTAAATATTTTATTCCGTATGTATTATAGATGGAATGAAATTCCGTTTGTAATTTCATCCTTAATTACTCACGTGAGAAACTTTGTAAGTAATTTTGCTCCTAATTACTCACAAAATTATTTTCGTAAGTAATTTCATGAGTAACCAAGACATATTACTCATGGAAAAAATTCCGTGAATAATTTCCGTGAGTAATTTGTTGGCTGCACTTGTCACATCCAGCTCATTCACTTGTATGATGTGCAAATTCAAGATATAAAAAACTATTCATCTAAAATATTGAAAGAAAAATGAATAGCTGATATTTAATGCACGCACATGACTGAAAATAAATAAATAAAAAAATGACAAGTACAAATAATATCGCACTAAAATTACACTGAAATGTCACAAGCATTTTGAGGCTATCAACTAATCATGAAATTAACTTCCCAAGCAAGAAACAATTCAAATACATTAGTAATAGCAAATTACCTATAACTTGCAAGTGTAAATCAATCCGAAGATCACTATATCCCCTTCCTGTAATTGGTGTGCTTTGGAAAACGCCCTCCGTCTACCACTTAGATGGCATCTTTTATTCAGATAGAATGCTAGATTCTCCTTGCCACATTCATCAACCAATTTAATAGGTGTGTTACAAGTTGGCAAACGAGAATTGTAGAATTCCCTAGGTATATGGTAAAGTGAGATTAAGAGAAAAGAAAATCCATACGCGGTTTGCTGAATTCGATCTTAATTGAAATCATACTAAAAATAGCATTTCTTAGCTCAAAAAACCAGCCAATATCCACGTGGGACATTCAATGCCAGCATACATTTACCAAAGTGTGGGCACTTGTACCCCAAATAGGATCTAGTATTCATATTGTTAGGTCTCCACGTACATCACTGCTTTGTGGATTTTGTAGTAAAAAAAATTAGATTTAGAATTAAATCAATGATTTAAATCCTAAATTACGGACTTCCTTGCATTATTGGAATTATCCATGAAAACCTGTGTAAAAATTGTGCAAGAAAAAGTAAAATAAAATAAAACGATATGAATGAATGAATCATAAAAAAACTAAGTCAAAATAAAATAAAATAAAATTCTAAGATCTACTTATTATCAAACTTCTAAAAGATGATGGTTAATATTTTCTTTGATAAATACGGAAGAAATAAAATAGTGCACAAACAATATTCAAATGTACAATGTATAGAACTTAAGATGACTTTAATTTCTTTGATTTTATGCCCATTTTACATTAGGATTTTTTAATTTTAATACAAAAAATTGAAGTCTCTAATGTAAAATGACATTTAATTTCAACATAGCATGCCGGTAGAAAATTCATATTCTACAATTCCAATCTTCAATATCTCTCCTTGAAACCAAGTCCTAGTATTGTCATTGTGCTTGCCTGAACCAATTGTATTAAACGCCGTTGAACAAATCTATGTCCCCAATGTTAAATATTCTTATTGCAATTCAAAACTCAAGACTTGATTAGAAGCCAATTCATAGTGCTTGAACTAAACTATAGATAAATATATATATATATATATATGTGTTGCCATTTCTAATATTTTTTTTAAAAAAATAAAACAAATGAATTAAACGATTGAGCTAAAGTTGCAATTTAATTTTCAAGACAACTATTTCACTAAGTGAATTCATTTCTCAAGTGTTGTTTTATAATGAATTCACTAAATCCAGTAATTGTAATGAAAATTTAAATTACAATTTAACTCTATGGATTAAATAACAATTTAAAATAAGTTAACAAATTATATATTTATCTATATATGTACCAAATATATTCATAGCATGCCATGCCATGTATGGCTCTCACTAGAAAATGGAGGCTTGTCCCTCAAGTGCTCCCTATGTATCTCCCAAGTAAAAAAAGTTGCTGAGTATTAAAAAGAATAGGCTAAAAACACATCAAGAAAAATATGTAGAAGCATAGTGATAATTGTGGATAATTTTAAATTATATTTTGCAATTTTACTCTTGGTTATAGTATTATACTACTATGTGACCAACTATAGTAATTGCATAAGCCCTAATGAATTACAATAATTGCTACTAAACATTCTTGAAACGGACGCTAGTTCCAGGAATATATGTCATAGTTTGGTTTCATCTTATCTTGGACTATATGTCATATAAAACTAACAGCATCAACCTTAATAAGCTATAATAAATCCCACTGAAAATTTTAGAACCCGTTCAAGTGCCAAACAATGTCGATGTCCCCAATGCGAAACATTTTTACAATTTGAATATCATGATTCAACTAGAAATTGAATAAATTTCTCAACACTCAAAGTCTAGTGCATTCTCTACAACCAACTACAATTAATAAATTCCACCCAATGCTTCGAAACCCAATGCAAGCCCCACCGGACGCCATCAGCACTATCAAAAACTATTTTTCACAAATTAGAAAATAAAATATTTTAAACAATCTAAATTTGTCTACAATGAGAAGAAATCATCAGTGATAAATGGAATGACGGGAGAATGCATCGCTGATGCACATCCAACAAGAAAATGCACACTCAACACATTGCTAGACAACACAAAAAGTGCATCACTGATGCGCTGTTCAGTTGGAAACTTTTACACCTGAAATTGAGTCCTGATCCTAAAAAAAACAAAACAAGCCTAAATCTGAATACCTAAAAACATTACAACACCAAACAGTAGAGAACCCAATACTATAAATCTGGATATCTCTTCCGAACAACTCACATAAATACATCAGAAAATTTCTAACTAAAACCACGCACGAAGATATATAACTAAGATAGAAAAAATCACGGTAAGAACATCTCTCCTGAGCATCTCTACATTTCAAGTTTCTTGACTTTCTCGGAGCCCTTTTTCTTCCTGCCCTTTCACGGTAAGAACATCTCTCCTGAGCATCTCTACATTTCAAGTTTCTTGACTTTCTCGGAGCCCTTTTTCTTCCTGCCCTATTCCAACCACTTTTTCTTGACACAATGTAAAGTAGACGCACAGTCAAAACCCCCCACATAATAACAAGCTAAATGAATATCATAATCAAACACAAAATGCTTTCATTTAGAAGCCTAATCTGGGATGTAAGTTTATACATTGGATCTTCTTTATATAACTTTCGAGCCTTTGCAGCTCTGTTATCCTCCTTCTCCTCACGCAAGATAACTTTATGTTGTTTTCACAAAGCCATCTCAAGTTATATAGTTTTTGTAGCTTTCTTTCCTTTCCCTTGTCTTGGTTCTTTCTCGAGATTGCTTGAGAGAGAGAAAAAGAAAGAGGGAGAGACACAGAGAGGGGGGACAGAGTTATGTCTGGTATGTGACAGCTTGTAACAACTGCACGTGAGCTACAAAAATGTGAACTTAGAAAACACTGCACACACCCGATGAAATTTTTGTATAGTTACTGGTTCGAGCTCCCTTTCTATGTGGATAATAACTCATAATTTTAATGGAAAGCCCATCTTGATTGGGGTGGTGGTTAAGTTTGGTAAGCTGAAGCCGGTA